TACATTACATTACATCACATTACATACATACATACATACATATATATATATATATGCCCATATACGTTTGTGTCTGTGCGTCAGGGTTTGGTATTCATGTATCCTTGGTCGCTCACCTCGCCGAGCTAGTTGAAGTAATATGTGTGGCTGCCAATACTCAGGTAGTAGTTGATGTTGACAGACGTGCAGACATGCAGGCAAACAGCAGACAGACATGCAGACAGACATGCAGACAGACATGCAGACAGACATGCAGACATGCAGACAGACATGCCGACATGCAGACAGACGTGCAGACAGACATGCAGACATGCAGACATGCAGACAGACATGCAGACATCAAACAGACATGCAGACATGCAAACATGCAGATAGACATGCAGACTGGTTGCAAAGTGGGGATTCTCAGGATAGACAGTTGTAAAGTGGGGTTTCTCACATCGAAAACAGTGTCTGCGGTTGTAAAGTGGGGATTCTGGTTGTAAAGCGGGTTAATCTCCTTCCCTCCCCTCCCCTCCCCCCCCCCCCCCCCTCCCTCCGGCCGGGCAAGGGCCTATGAGAAGAGCCCCCACGACAACTGAGAACTCCTGTCACCACAATGGCGGGAACCACGTGCACAACAATTGGGTAGACAAGAGAGGACGCTGCACCTCGCAGGATGGCAACTTGCAACAATGGAGCTGGAAGCATATAGCCGGGAACAAGGCCAATATAGGGGCCCTAATAATTAGAATAACGTTGTTTTTTTGGGGGGGTCCCTGCTATAATTAAAGTACAACTTACCCCAAAACCCTATTCTAATTGTTAAGGCCCCTAGATCAACAAGGGAGTGCAACGGCAGGTCAAGCGGCTCTTCTACGAAATTGTGGTGGCTCCGGTGCGCCGCTGATGCATTGCAGATGCTGCCGTTTCTCTGTAGCGATGCACGTCAGGTCAAGAATCCACTATTGTTCTCCGGAGTGCGAAGCCCACCAAAAGGCTTGCCGCGTTCTACACCTTGTATTTATGTCGCTGTCCAAAACTTGCATGTGTTATAGTAGTTATGTTATAGCATTCGTACCCTGCACGTCTCAAGGACAAATCTTGACCTAGTAACTAGTATTTGTGAACTCTGCGCCTGGAAAGGCGTGCTGCTGTTTGGGCCCCCTGGAAACGGGAAGACGATGCTTGCCAAGGCACGAACAGGGTCGTGGAGTTTCAGGAAGCTTATGGCAGCTGGGGAATAAGGTTTAGGGGTTAGGGCCCTGACTGCCCTAACTCGGCGGTTGCAAACTCTCAGTTTTTGTGGTGGCTGGAGGCGGTTGCAAGCGAGTGCAACGCCACCTTCTTCAGCATCTCCGCTTCCTCTTTGACTTCCAAGTGGGTCGGCGAGTGCGACCCCCGACTGTCAGTGTAGTTGATTCTGAATACAATACCAGGTGATGATAAATGAGTAGTAGGACTTACTAGCACATCTAGCATAATTTCTCACTACTACCACTCAAGCCACCACCAGCAGCAATGGCTCACGCGGAGTAGCTAGGCTGTTCTGTAGCAGCGATTACCGGGTTGTCTTGTCGCTCCTACCGTGTGCATTACAAGAGCCTGAGTAATTGCCATTACTGTTTTCGAGTCCGTTTTTTTATGTAATGGATAATATGCCCGAATATGCCCCCAAACCCTATTCTTAAAATTTAGGCCCCTAGACTACTTCAGACTTCGTCATAATTTTTTGGACCTCCGACTCTTCCCCGTCTGAGGTCGGAGAAGCAGATGCGAGCTCTCTTTAGCCTCGCCAGGCTTGCGTTCCCGGAGATTCGCACTGCTGTGCTCTTGTTGCAGACTTTGGGATGTCACTGTAAGGCACTGTAGGGGTTATGTAGGGGCTTGGGGTTTATAAGGGTTCAGGGTTTAGGGGCGTTTAGGGGCTTTGGGCTTAGGAATCTTCTGATTAACTGAGCTTCCTTGTGTCCCGTCACTGTGTGAAGATCTGCGACCTGTTGCCCGTCTACAGCACCTGGAGGAAAATGCAGCCTGCAGTCATCTTCATGGATGAGATTGATTCCATGCTCACAAGCCGGTCTGCCGGTGAGCATGAGGCCCTGGACGGTTAGGGTTTAGGGTTTAGGGTTTAGGGTTTAGGGTGGGAGTCTCTTGCATGTCCATCAAGGTTGCGCACATAGTCCCTCCCGTCTCCCCACCTTTGCACGAAGATCCCATCCCGGTTCTTCCCAGAGCCCGCGAGAGCCCCAGGCGGCGCGACGCCTGAAGACAGAATTCCTTGTACAGTTGGATGGTGCTGCTTCAGGCTGGCCCGAGGGCGACGGTTAAGGCGGAAAGATGTAAAGTTGTGGTCAGGTGGTGAAGACCGAGTTCTAGTACTGGGAGCTACCAACAGGCACGTGTTCCCTTACGTGCTTGCAGCTTTTCAGCTTGTCGACTGCTTCGCAACATACCTTTGCGTGTGCTTTGTGTGTGCGCGCGTCATACTCAGAAGTTCATGCAGAAAATGTGACCTCGATACGGAGGGCAGTCGAGCCGTAGCTCATTTTGAGGGACGAACTCGCACAAGGACCAGAAGCAACATGTAACACAAGTTTAACACAAGCAAGTAGACCTGCCACGATGTAGTGCCCAGCGCACCCCGGTGCCTGGAGAGCTACATGGCGCAAACCTCCCCGGGCATTCGGGGAGAGTGGCCCGCATGCCGCCAATATGCAGCGAGCCTACCTCGACTCAGTTCATCTCGGAAGAGCAGTGTGCTTATTAAGACTGATTGCTGTGTAACGCCCATATTATCAACAACACTGCTGAGATTCGCAAGTATCCGCTGCGACTATCATGGGTTTATAGGGTTTATTTAGGGTCGTGGGGCAATGCCACAAATCAGCAACCAACCCCCAGTTACTGACATCTCTTCAACTGTTTGGCCTTCTTTCGATCCCTGCCGGAGCCGAGGCTGTCGCTTGCAGCCACAGCACCACTAAGCCTCTCCGAGGCACCGGTTCAACTGTTGAACTGTTGGGCTTTAGTGCCGGGCTTCTAGGGCTTAGAGCCTTCGGGGCGTCGGCGTAGGCTGCACTCGTGGCTTCAGCTACCATTGTGAGACGACCCAGAAGCGTGGGAGCAACAGAAGGGAGTGCGCAGCATATTTTGTGTTTGCGCCCTGCCGTTTGCCCGAACTTAAAGCCGAAGCCGGTATCCACTTCCGACCCGCGGCACGCTTTTCCATCCGAAAATGCTGACTTGCAGGATTCGCACGGCCACGAGTTCAGCCCTCGGTGCTGCATCTCTGGATATCCACGCTTGTGCGTTTAGGGTTTAGGAGTCTAGGGCTTAGCGTCCGCAAAATCATGCAAAACCCATAAGGAAACAGAATAGAGTAATAGCACAGCTCGACGGGTTTCGATTAAATCGCGAGCCAGGAGGCCGAATGAGAGTAGGAACACAATCACAGCAACTTGATGCGCACAACGGGCAGAGATTCCATGAACAGTTCTTCGCTTCAACAGTGACGCACTAGAGCACTCCGCCGTAAACTGCTGTTGTCTATCCTTCATCGTTGCCACGGCTGGTACTACAAAGCAGCAGCAGCAGCAGCAGCAGCAGCAGCAGCAGCAGCAGCAGCAGCAGCAGCAGTACTGGTAGTAGTCGTAGCACTAGTACTAGTACTAGTACTAGTACTAGTACTAGTACTAGTACTAGTACTAGTACTAGTAGTAGTAGTAGTAGTAGTAGTAGTAGTAGTAGTAGTGAAAAAATCACAAGAAGAAGAATGGTAGCAGCAGCAGAATTCGAAGTAGACGGGACAGGCTGGAACAGCGCTTCATTCTCGCGTGGGGCGCAAACGCCAATCGGCAGTGCTTCTCTGAGGAGGCATTGCAGTCTGCTGAGTCTTAAAACGTCTTGAAGCCTTATAAGGTTCAGGGTTTGGGGTTCAGCTTTGGCTGCCGTTCACACCGTCTTGGTCAGCTTCAGGGTTAGTGCTGCTGTTCTTCACAGCTCATGCATGAAATATGCAAAACAGGAAGCAAAGTGCAGCCGACCGAGTCTGCATTGTTGGCAGCCGTGCGAAAGGCCAGGGTGGTGCCCTCTCCACGGCACGTGCCATTTCATCGGCCACTCCGATCTCTTGCCGCAGGTGGGTTTTCGGTACGGGTATGCCAGGATATCAGACAGCTCATGTGAAGGTCGGTTTTGGACCGGACCTGTGTCAGACCTGTGTTGTGCGACAGGCTGGGAAGGATCTTTGGTGGTTGATGCGGATGGCAGCCGGTCGCCAATCGCCATCCCGCCTGGCATGTGTACCGGAAACAAGCGTGGCTTTGTCAAGGCCTTTGGGGGGGCGGCAGCAATCGTGGCCAATGCTTGTCAGAAGAGCTGAGCGTGTTGCTCAGCTGGCATGTCGGCCGCGCACTTTTCCGTGGGAGTGGCCATGAAAGCCAAGGTGACGAGCAAGTGCCGCTCTCACGGCTTGACATTGCAGAGCTTGTCAGGGCCTCAATTTACGTCTGCATGTTTGCAAGACTACCCACGGTTTCCATTGTTGTTCCTTTTGGGGGTTACCTTACTGGATCATAACTGGTTAAACCTTTACAAGGAACTACAATGGAGACTATCGGTGTGATGCAGCAGACAACGCACAGGATGGTGTGCCCTTCGAAGCAGCGCAGCGGGATGCCTCAGTTTTGCTATAGTTTTGTGCGGAGGATTGGGCCTTTTTTCTCACCTTTCGAGGATGGGAAGAGATCACATTCTCGCAGTTCTAGAAGGTGGCCGGGCGGTGATCTCCTGGGGTCCTTCCAACGAGTCTGCGGCTCGACTTTCCGAATCCTGCGAAAATTTCCCTTTGGAATGTTGTCGATCAGGTTTGGGCAAATTGGACACGGGCTCCCGTATCGCTGGACACTTAGGGTTTAGGGTTTAGAGTTGTGGGGGCTGTTGTCAAGTTGGATGCCTGCCCTCCCACGCAGCTAGTTGCAATCGAAGTCCGGAACGCGCGGACCACAAGCAGTACCATGTTTTTGTGGCATCACGCTGATGCCTCCTGCACCCTGCAACACCCTGTTGCCATTGAGGCTCGCGGGTGCGTCCTGGCGTGGTGCACTTGGGTGGCGTGCTGGTGAAGCAGGCCGCCTGTCGAGTCGGGCATCTTGATCGGTCATGGTACCAGATCTTACATAAAATCATATCAGATCGTTGCTTGGTGTTCTTGTTTCACGAACGCTGCAGTGATGTTGTGGGCCAGCGGACCTGCTGGTTACGAGCAGCTAGCATTACAGTTTAAGGTATCAGCGTTGTCAAATCGTACGCAGGTTGCCTGCGGAGAGCACCACTCCCTGGTGCTTACAGCTCACGGTGAGGCCCGGGTCTGTGAGTGAAACTCCCACTTCTAAAAAGGAGCCTCTGCCCGACCATGACGCCCAAACATTGAACTGTCAGAACTTGTTCTTTGTAGGTTCTTGTTATAAACCCTCTACTACAGAACTTATAGGCGCCCTACAAAAAATACGGGTTTTGGTAGCTCAAGGTACAGTATACGCCCTATAAAAGCCCTAAGCACCCGCGGTGACAGTCTAAGGACTTTAGGAGGGACCCCTTATGGGGACCCTGAATCCCATTACCTTAAATAACCATTGTGTAGTCCTTATTTACCCCTTATACAGCCCGGTAGTCTCCATATCAACCCCAATAACCTACAAGGGTTCCTATTAAGGGTCCCTCCTAAAGCCCTTAGAGCCAGGTTTACTCCTTCGGCTGCAACTTGCACGGGGCCCTTGGGTCCGGTCGATGCGACTCACAGGACTGGTCCTGTCCATCCGCAACTTGAAACATAGGATTTAGGGTTCAGGGTTTAGGGTTTTAGGGTTTTGGTTTATAGTAACCCCCAAAAAGTTGGAAACCGGATTGAGGACAATTAGCGCCGGGATCCCCTTAAGGATTGTAGGCGATTAGGTTTCCAACTTTTGGGCTTTGCTGTATAGGGGCCTGAATATTTTGCAATAGGGTTCCTCCTCTTAGTATAGTGTTGCAGCCGACGGCCCTGAAAAGTTTGCAGGAGCAAGCCGAAAGAGTCCCTCCCTCGGTGTTTTGAATAAATCGCAGCCAGGTACCTGTTCGGTTTCGGGTTTAATGTCGGCGTCTAAGTACTTACCAATACTATTTTGGGTGGGTTCCTTCTTACAATTATAGTATGATGGGCTCCAAAACCCTTTTCTAATTATTAAGGCGCCTATTTTAGGGTGTCGGGGTTCAAGGTCTTTCTTGGCTTCTCAACTTGAGGTTGTTGGCAACCACTTGCGCAGCATGCCTGTAAGAGGCATCGCCGCTGGAGTCTGCGGCCAAGCGGGTGTTTCAGAAAACGAGCGATCCCCATAAAGGGCCCCCAAATATAACATCATGTAACTTAAGTTAAAGTAAGCTCTGCCCTAAACCCTAAACCCTAAACCCTAAACCCTAAACCCTAAACCCTAAACCCTAAACCCTAAACCTTAACCGCGCTTCAAGGGCCAGGAGACCCTAACGAAAATCCTCCACGCCTTCTCTCCCGAGTAGTTCTCTCCCCGGAGTCGAGGCTCAAAGTTCCATGGCTTTGTCGATTGGGGGCGACGTCTTTTGCCATGAGCTCGGTTCGACACGTGGGGGTTTCCGAAAATGAGGGGTACCTTGTTTTGGGGTCCTTATAATTTGGATCCTTCTATTTGGGTACTATATTAGGGTCCCCTATTTTCGGAAACCCCCACGTCGCAAGAGAGAGACTGGGACAGAGAGGCAGATTTTAGAGTCGAAGCCAGGGTTCCTTTTGCCTGTTTGAAGGAGGGTTTTTCAAGGAAGTATCAAGGTTTGATGGTGCTTGTACTGCAAAAGTCCCAAAAGGTTCATAGTATACTACAATGAAGCAGTATGGGCATTCTACTCGAATGTCATAGTACGAAGTCATGGTCTAAGAACCCTAAACCCTAAGCCCTAGTCTAAGAACTCATAAGAGCACTAGAGCAAGACGCCCAGAGGCTGGGGCTGCAACGGCCGAGGGCGGCTGGGGCCTGGAGCCTGGCCCAGCCTTGGAACTGCGAGGTTTAGGGTTAAGGGTTAAGGGTCTGTATGATTTAGGGTTCAGGGCCTTACGGTTTAGGGTTTCGGGTTTATTGTGGTTTAGGGTTTAGGGTTCATTGTGGGGTGGCGGTGTTGTTGTCGTCACTATCGGCTTTAGCATTTAGTTGGGTGGTTTGAGGCTTGGGAGCTATTCTTGGGAGCTATTGGACCCGGTATCATCAGGAGCAAGGCGCCACACGGGGCACGAAGTTCACTTCACAAGCCCTACCAAAAGCTTACAGAAGCTTTACAAACCCTCATGGAACACCCTTATAAAATCCACAGGCACACCTTCCACGACCGTGCTTAAACAGATAAAGACCTGTACAAAGCCAAGAAGACGGTTTACTAAAGATGACCTGGCCTATACTGGTTTGGGACTCGCCATGTCTACAACATACCCCCTCGCCCCAATCCTAGTGAGCAAGGCCACTTATCATGGAACCCTTAGAGCAACCCTTAGATTATAGATCCCCTCAGCGGAACCTTGTTCTTATTATTAAAGACAACCCTCTTTAAAGCCTCATAGAATCCTGTATACAGCAAAACACGGGACGGTTTAGGGTTTAGGAAACCCTAAACCCTAAACCTTAGACCCTAAACCCTAAACCCTAAACCCTAAACCCTAGACTTTCAGACCAGAGCAGAGGTTGGGGCCGGCCTACGACCAGGAGCCCACGGTCCTGGCCCCTGTGATTGCCCGCGGCCCGGACGTGGCAGGGTTTAGGGCTCATAAGGGTTTAGGGTTTAGGGTTTAGGGTTTAGGGAGTTTCAGAAAATTAGGGTACCTTATTTTGGGGTCCTTATAATAGGGATCCTACTATTTAGGGTACTATATTAGGGTCCCCTATTTTCGGAAACCCCCATAAGGTTTGGGGTTGAGGGTTTAGGGCTGATGTTTAGGCTTTATGGGGTTGGGGGTTTTAAGGCTTGGTTTAGATAGTGTAGGGTTTACAAGGTTTAGGGCTTAAGGTTTAGATGGTATAGTCAAATTTTCAGTTTGGGTGTAGGAGTAGGATTTACAAAGGGTGTCAAAGTTTCAGGGGTGCAAAGGTTTCGGATCCATAGTACGAGTACAGCTCAAAGGAAGCTTCTGGCATCTATAAGGCTCAGCCTATGATTATGAGCAACGGGACAGAGTCACAGCTGGGTATTGAGCCCCGAAACCCTAAACCTAACACCCCATATCCCAAAGCCCAAAATTCAAACTAAACCCAAAGCCCTAAACCCTAAACCCCAAATACAAGCTTCATAAGCCGAGGTTCCCAACCTCCCGGGGGTCGCAAGGGCCATCGCGGCTGGTGGACAGCACTCAGCTGTGATCCTGCGTGCGGTGCCAAGACTCGAAGGGACGCAGCCAAGGCCCTGATGACGGTTTCGGGTTGAGGGTTTAGGGTGTCATTAGGGTTTAGGGGGAAGGGTTTAGGGTTTAGGGTTTAGGGTTTAGGATTAGGGTTTAGGGGGAAGGGTTCAGGGATGATGATGATGGTGATTAGTTTAAGTATTGCTGTTGGAATGAAATGACACGTTCGTGCCCCTTGTTCTTATCACCGGGTTGGTGATAAGGCCCGGTTTTTGGTACTCACTAACCTGAAGGCTGGGTGGGGTGTCAAACTTGTGAGCATGACTCACTACTCGTTCTACAGCTGCTGCTGCTGCTGCTGCTGCTGCTGCTGCTGGCTGCAGAATCAGTACATCCCTCGGCGCGTGCCTCCCGTATCGCCTCTTCCCCAAATCCTTCTGCCCTCATGGAGTCCTTAACATTCTTGTTTCCATGGCGCTGTCACTGGACGTTCTCAACGCACGCTCCACTTGTCTGGAAGCTCCTATGGTCCTATGTGTTGCACACCGGAGTGTTGACATGGCGGGACAGGAAGAACGACGGGTGATCAAGTGCGGGGTCAATCAATCAACCACAAGCTTCAGGGAGCGACGACCGCTGCAGGCCGTCAGAGTATGGAAGAGAAGGGGACACTGGAATGACACTGGCAGGGGCAGTCAAGTCAGTGAAGAGCAAACTTACCTGTGTTTTTGCTTCATCATCATGGCGATTAGGCCGTGGACGACTTTTCCTGGCTGGTGACAACCGGTCGGGCCAGCTAGGACAGCTGGTGCCTCAGCATTTTTGTTCGCATCGTTCGCTGTCATGGCTTGTAGGTCATACAGATTGGTCAGAATTGCGAGCACTGCACTGGTTGTTAAGCCACTGTGACTGAAAATGGTTTCGTGATGTTTGGCCTGACATCTGAAAGAGAGTGATCTGCAGCATAAAGCAATTCCCAAGCTTCGCGCTTGGTGCACTGGATTGCTATACTGGTACAATGGCTTTACGCCGATGTAAACAACATTGTATGGCAATCCAAAGCTTCGTCATGGGTGCACTATTTCCCAAAGGTCGCGCAAAGACGTTGACTGGCCACAGCCTCAGCAAGTGGCTTTCGAACCAAAACGTGTACCCATAGGCCCCGTAGTAGTTCCTTTTTGGGATTACCTTCTAGGATTCTAAATATGAACACCAAAAAGGAACTACTATGGGGCCTATGGGTAGAGACTTCCAGCGTTGTAGAAGATTCCAGGACCAGTACGTTCTTCGAGCTGCCGTTCCAGGACTACACCCTTCGGGTGCGCAGTAGTAGTAGTAGTAGTAGTAGTAGTAGTAGCAGCCGTCGTCGCCGTCGTCGTCGTAGTAGTGGTGGTAGTGGTAGCGTTTGTTGTAGTCCTAGTTGTAGTATGTTGTAGTCGTAGGCTTAGTCGTAGAAGTCGTCATCGTCGTCAGGAGGAGGAGTGCGGCAGAAGTAGCAGTAGGAGTAGGCATATGGGAGTAGCACAAGACCTATAGTAGTAATTGGTGCGACAGCAGCATGCCGTTTTCCGGCGTCGCAGGTACGAACGGTTGCTCTGGGCAAGAAGCACACGTCGCTGGCTTTGTTGCTCTGATGGTTCTTGTCGCAACTGGTGCTTGTGAGAGTCCCTTCACATGCTGCCCCGTTTGCTGTTTTGAGGCTCATTTTGTCGTATGACGGAGAGGTGTACTCCTGTGGCTGCAATGCGTCTCAGCCGGATTTGCAGAAACCGTTTTCGTCAACCCTTAATTATGCCTGAAAGGCCGAAGGCCAGCTTGGCAGCGAAGCATGCTCCAGCGAAACCAGGCTGGACGCCAAGGGTGATAATAATTACCGTCAATTGCAGTTGCAGCAACACTCCGAGCATGATGAGTCAATGATCAGTTCATCGATTCGCGCTAGATCAAGGCACAAAGCACTGTCCGAGGTTGCCCGTCGATGCCGCGCCTGTAGATGTTCCTGTGCGTTTGAAGCTGCAGCTCGAGGGTGCCAAGGACGGCTAGCGTGCGAGTGGCCGAAATCGGGTCCTCGGGCGGCTTGCATCGAGTTGCAGGCCCTCTTAAGGTGTCTTATGTCATGCACTGGCGTTGCAAGTGAGAGCTAACAACACCTCCCCGTCGCTCGTCTAATGAATCCGGCAGGCAGGCAGCAGCGGACATTCAAGCCACCATGTACTGTGCTGCGCCAGGAGTGCATGGTGGTCGGTCTTTCAACTTGCCACGATCACACCGTCGCCATGGTGATTTCTGTGCCAGTGCCCCACAGGAGATACAGAAGGTTTAGGGTTTAATGTTTAGGGTGTAGGGTTTCGGTTTAGGGTTTAGGGTTTAGGTTGCACAGTGATATCATGTCATAGCCATGACAGTTCAAACGAGCAGCATTGGCGTCAACTTGCAATGTCGCAGTGGCAGCTGTCAAGTGTAACAGCAAGGCTTTGTTCGGGGCCTGAAAGGAGCCTAGCTTCTGTGTGTAAGCCTTGCCGTTCACAGATTCAGTGTTTCAGTTTGAATACAAATACACATAATATACATATGTTATATATATATATATACTTATGTATATACGGTATGTATATCTATATCTCTCTCTATGTATATATATAGATATATATACACATATATGTATCTCTGTATTTCTGTACAGATGTAATATTATGCATCTATATATATATATATATGTGTGTGTATATGTTGGTTCGTCCCTCTGTCAGACTGTTGCTAGAAGTTGAAGGCCGGAAGGGTCCAAGCGTGGCGACACCAAGCAGGCGCCGGTCCGGGCCGTCGAGTCGAGTTTTGGAGCTTCGGGTGAAACCCAAGGGTTTAGGGTTTTAGGGTTTTGGAGCTTCGGGTTTAGAGATGTAGGGCTTAGGGGTTTAAGGAGTTAGGGTTCAGGGTTTAGGGTTTAGAGATTTAGGGCTTAGAGGTTGAAGGATTTGGAGTTGTTAGGGGTTTAGGGTTCTGGGTTTAAAGGCCTGGTTGGTTTAGAGTTGTTTGGGGGTTTAGGGTTCTGGGTCAAAAGGCTTAGTTGGTTTAGAGTTGTTAGAGGTTTAGGGTTCTGGGTTTCAAGGCTTAGTTGGTTTAGAGTTGTTGGGGGGTTTAGGGTTTTGGGTTTAGGGTTTGAGGCTTGTTCGAGGGCGTCTAGGATTTAGTGTGGAGTTCCCCAGAAGCCTGGGCTCGCACACGTCATCCAGCACACGACCCTAGCACAGACCCTACACCAATCTACGGTCTGTAGATTCCCAAACCCAAGATCATCAACTCTGACCCGCTGACTCTGGACTAGCCACTCAAACCCCGCAGACCTCACGCCCGAAACGCCGAAATGCAGTGCGTTGGCAGATCCAGCCGGGAGCTCGACCACAAACTTCCGCTTCTGCGCAGCGACCCGAGTCACGATGCCTGTCTGTATGTATGTGTGTATGTTTCGTATGTGACGTATGTATGTATGCATGTACGCAGGTATGCATGCATGTATGTGGTATGTATGTATGTATGTATGCATGCATGCATGCATGAATGGATCGATGTATGTATGTATGTATGTATGTATGTATGTATGTATGTATGTAGGTATGTATGTATGTATGTATGTATGTATGTATGCATGTGTGTCTGTATGTCTTGCGTGCATGTACACGGGTAATGGGTAGTCTTTTCATCCAGCTATAGATCGATCACTCCATGTCTTCATAAGCTGCATACAGATGTATAAACAAGCCATGCTGCTGTTTTCGTTTCTTGATCGCCGGTCGAAGTTGCTACAACTTGTGGTTACTATGGTTATCTATGGTTGCTCTATCCTAAACCCTAAACCCTAAATAGCTGTTGTTAACTAAATACTGTTGCTACAGTTGTGCAGTCAGGCGAGCGGGTACCAGTGGACCAGACCTTGCGCAGACCATGCGTTGGGACCCTAGCCGGTGCAGCTGACGGTCATGAAACCCTACGCCTACCTATATCTCCATTGTACTTCCATTTAACCAGGTTTAAAATTAGGGTCCTAGATAAGGTAACTCCAGAACGGTACTACAATGTACGTATATCTCCATTGTAGTTCCATTTAACCAGGTTTATAAGTAGGATCCTATATAAGGTAACTCCAAAACGGTACTACAAGGGATACCATAGGTAAACCCCTGGACTCGACCCCAAAGCGTCTGAGGAGCAAATCGAGCGGCGCAGTTCATCCGGACAATGAATACGATCCATGAAACTGAAGGCCTGGGAGTCGGCAAAGCCTATACATAAACCCCCAAAAGTAAGTAAAATAACGGCCCAACACCGCTAAAAGGCTATTATTCTACATACTTTTGTGGTCCATGTATCTGCTATTTCTTATATCTTGCTCAGTGTAAGATATGTTATATTTGTTCTACATTGTATTAGAGGGGCTGGAAGACTGCAGCGATCACATCACGAGAGGTCTTACGTCTTCGCAGAGCCAGTGCCGCACTTAGCTCTAAGGAGTTCTTCGGTGACGAAGGGTGCGCCTAAGACATGTTCTTGTTCCTGCAGGTTGCCGGAGTACGTTGAGCAGGCAGGAACGGCCAAGCTTAGATGCAGCACTTCTTTCGCTCCGGCTGACATGAGGACGTCCCGGAGGAGTTACAGCTGCAGGACATGCCGGCCAGACCCTCCACAGGACAAGGCGATCGGACCTCCACAGCCCAAAGCCCAGCTTAGAACACTTGGCTTTGGCATTCTACCGGTGAGGTTATCGGTCTGATCTGTTCCTGTTGGCATGGGCTGCTCCCGCCAATACTGCAGGTCGCAGAGGCCTTGTCGTCAGGTTGCACGAGCAGGCCGCATCCGTGCTTCTCGAAGCTACCATAGCCGATCCCACAAGTGCAAAAGTCGGAATCTCGGTCCTCTCTGCAAGGCTATACCTTGGCGCAGGCTGAGGCTAAATAGCCGAAAGGAATAGTGAATCATCATGTTCGTTCTTGTTGACGACTGTGTTCTAGAAGATAGGGCTCGGGAGAACCAGGCAGGGTCCATGGAAGGTAACCCTGGTGATGTAGAACATCCAAGAAAGTCCGAAACCCCAAAACATATAGAATCCTTACACAAAGCCTCTACAGCACCCTTTGAACAGACATCCCTAAGCCCTTGAAGCTTATAAAGCCCCTATTCAACCCTAAATCCTAAACCCTAAACCCTAAACTCCTAAACCCCTAAACCCCTAAACCCCTAAACCCTAAACCCTAAGCCCTAAACCCTATAAACAGCCTGCTGAAGTGACAGGGTGGGCCGCTCACCGAGAGGCGTTGCCCTGGTGTCTCTTCAGGCAAGGCCTCCGAGGTACGCCCTGGTTCTTTTGAGACGATTAAAGGGTTTAGGGGTTTAGGGT